GGTTTTTCTTGCTAGTAGTTTATAAATTACACCAGGGAAAGATTTAATGAAGAAGTACCAACATATGTTTTTAGCTTTGGCAAGAGGCGAAAACCTCTCCATGAAAACAAATTTACTTTACGTACTTTATTTATCTAATTTTGGAATTCATATGTAAAATTATACATGTGGAGATTGATATTGATACACATAATCGTCAGTACAGAAAGACTTGATTGGATATCTTATCTAATCGTTGTTGTTCTAGAAAATCTTATAAAGCTTCAATTAGCACCCTAATTTCTGGATAACGAACAATAGTTAGATTACGTTGCATTTCAGGGACCACAAAATATTGATTTGTTGTACAAATCTTTTACTATCGTTCTTGAAATGAAGACCTTACTATTCCAAGGTATTTTCAAGAAAGAAATGTTACCACTCGTTCCTTAAGAACTTAAACAGAGACAGCTGCCTATGAAATCTACAGAAGAATTTTGAATTTCTGAGAGCAGGACTCTTGAACCCCACAGAATAAACAGATGCGATGAAACTTAATCATTTCTCTTTTAAAGGCGAACTGGAAAGATTATAACGTTCTAGAGCATGTAACAAGTGCATGTAAATGTGGGCACGTGCTTAACAGTAACACGATTGGAGGATCAGATCCGCTTTCCTAAATTGGGATCATTCGTAGTTCCCTATACTACTAATGGGCTCACAGTGTACATGCAACTTTTGTTGAATCCAGTTTAAGTTTAAAATTACTCAGGGAATTGATTGTGTATTAAGTACACAAGAATAAGATGAAGCCTAAAGACCATCCTTTACACTTTCTATTGCCGAGACCACTCATTAATCAGCCCGAGTAAGAACGCAGACAAATTCTGTTTGTTTGATAACTCTTTTACCTGTGGGACAAAGATGGTAGATAACGTTTTTACATTTCGACACTTTCACTTGTATGATTAATTTTTATTGGGGTACAATGTAATTTAACTCGTGCGTTAACTCAGTTTTCTTTTCTGCAAGAGAGTTTTAATAAATTGTTATCAGTACTATTGTTATTAATTAAAGTATGTGAAGCAATAAGCGCTTCATAAACGTAGTATAAACCTTAGAAATGAAGTGTTTGCGTTCTATTTTTACACAGCACTGATATTTAAGATTTAAGTTCTACGAGTCTCCCTGCGAAATTATAGCGGAGTTCTCTCGCGCGCAGCGGAGCACCGTGGGTAATAAAATCTGGTTATCTATGCATCCAAGAAATTTGGGTTCTGACAACCTGGGGTGAAATTTTGCATTTCAAGCTGCGCGAGCGTTCCGGCGGTAAATCGCATGGCCACCAGGACTTTGAGACAGAAAAACCTAGAACAAAGCTGAGTCTTCGACTAAATTTTAATGTCTACATTGGAGGAATTAAACATCACGTCTACGGCAAACAGCAAACTTGAGATTTAAGTTGAGAAATTTTCAAAATGAGAAATGAGCAGATAAAAACAGCTTTAAAAAATTGTTATGGATAAAATTGGCTCGAACTTCCCGATTTTTGTATAGTTACAATGAACAGTAAACGACAGTTAAATGGAAAACTTGGTCATGTGGTAAAAATTCACGTTTGCCGGTTGCCGCAAACGCGATGCTCATTAGAGACCTTAAGATCAGGGTTTGGTCATTTTACTGCAAACGACAAACTGTGGTTTGCGGTTAACGGTTTCAACTTACCCGTCTGCCCATATTTAAGAGTTAAGATTCGCGGGTAGTAGTTCGCGGCTGCCATGTTTGCTTTCATTCATCCACTTACTCCTATTTTAGCTGAGAAACCGTCTTGAAAATTACGTTTTTTAAAATAGAATTCGATAATCAATAAGCAAAAGAGTTCTAAAAGTTATACTTCGACTCAAACGTAGGATTGTGGCGTTTTAGGGTGCGAAAAACTTTGCGGTAAATCACTTACCGCTCCTGCGTGGTCTAGCCGTACAAACCGCAAACCTGACGGCAAGGCCCTGGTCACGTGACTTCTTAACGTTCGCGGTTCCCGGGGAGTGCGGAAAAACCTCAATCTTATAATCTCTCTAAATTAACGTGAATAACAGGGAAAGAGCGTGAGCGAGAAATAAAAAACAAGGGACACGAGTTTCGTTGGAAGAAAAACATGATGACTTTATACCGGCAGTGAGAAAATGAGAAATACTAATGGCCACCACGGTGAAAATAAGCGGCAGTGAAAAAAAGTGAACAGGAACACATACAACATTTCCTCCATAAAACATAGCATCAGTTATAGAAACCAATGAACTTTCCCAGCTGGATAAACGACGCAATCAGATTTTGACAAACTCGAAGGATATAATCCAAAAAGGCCGTAAGTCGATGCGCCGAAGTGCTGCTGCAGGACCACAGTACGGTTCCAGTAAAATTACAGTGTTTGTATATATGGGATAAAAATACGATCCTAAGATTTGTAGGAAATACTAATTAAAGGTCAATAAAACTTACTCTGCAGTTAGTTGTTGTTGTCCTTAATGCTCCAACGAAGTTTTGTGATGACGTGTTCAAATTCACATTCTATACAATAATAATGAAGAAGGTAGGAGGCGCCAGATGCTATCTTGGCCGCCATGCTCCCTTTCCAACAAAACGTTTTCCACGAAATTCGAACTCCAACAGAAAATAAACATGCTAGGATCGTAGAAATAGTATAGCAGCAGATATAGAAACCAATAAAGCCTTCCAGGCTGGAGAAACGAATCCAGCGGACTGACTAACTCGAAGGATATAATCCAAGAAGGCCGAAAGTCGATGAGCCGAAGTGTCCGAAGTAGCCGGGCCAGATCAACGCGTGACCAAGTAAATGAGGCCTGTGTATTTTTACAAATCAAAACCATCCCGGGTGCCCTGGGGTGACCTTTCTAGGAAACGATACATAGCTTGCACAAGGTTAGCCTCCCCTGCTGGAGATACATTTACCCGAGGCCTATTTTTCACTTGAACCAATCTCATTCGGTAGAGTGCTTGACAGCAGAGCTGGAGGCTCGCTGGTTCGTTTCCCGATTCAATACTCAGGGTCTTGAAAAAAACCTGAACAGGCCTAAATATGAATCTAATGAAATGCTTGTTCAGATTGTTCGGCTCCAAGTTGTTCAAACGTTGGATGGCGCAATCCACAAGTTAAATCAATATCTAGTGAATAAGCATTGGGGAACTGGTTGCGTCTTCCACTGGATAGAGATAAATTCAGAGAATAGCACTATATATCTATTGAACAACTGAGGTTTTGTGTCGGCAGCGGTAAAAGTATAAGTCTGTTAACAGCAAACGTTTCGTTTTTTTATTATTTACTTATTTGTTTGTTAACAGAAAACATGAAAAGTTAGCCGACAAAGAATGCTAGTTATAGATCCAGATATAACATTTACTTATGTAGGTTAACTTGCTTGCTTGCTTTTTTGGTTCTTTGGAGCGCGGTGAAATACATCTCTGTTCTGTTGTGGCACAAACCCCTTATGGGTTTCTGGTTGTGGTGCAATTTTATCTTTGGTTTAAATTGTATTTCCGTTTGTTTTAAACTCATTATCATACATAATAATGCCCAAAACAAAGGGAAATAAAATTTAAACCCAGGATAAAATTTTTACTATAGTACTAGGTAGATTAACCGTAGTGCAAGGTAAGTAAAAGAACTGAAATTATGTTATTTTTTGTAATTGAAGAGTAAATACAAAAAACTACAAATTACTCAAAAAACACTACAGAACTACAAAACACAAAGCATCCAAATAAATTTCGATGTACACTACTTAGATTACGGCCACAAAAAAGGAAACAAAATACAGCAATAATTATAAGCAGTGGTGTTACATGCAATTTTTTGTAAAGTTTAAACTTATACGTAAAGTGAGACGCATATGCGGGATACCTCTTCTATGAGCTTACAAATGGCCAAAATGTCTTCCATTTGTTTAAAAGTGTAGTTAGTTTAACCGAAAATATATTATGCCTACCTTAAAAAAACCACTTAATTACTATTTTTATTTCTATAGTTGAAACAATGTTTTGACAGCGCGTATTTCTTTATGTTTAAAATTTAACTCTGTCTTCTCTGTAAGTGAAAAGCTCTAAAGTACGCCGTCCAACAGTCTAAAAAATTCCCTTCTCAATGTACTACAATCATCGTCAAGTTCTCTATACAACAACACGTTTTTGTAATGGCAAAAGACAAATTCATTCCTACTAAGTATCTTTCCTATATCTAGGTCATTTGGCTTTGACGTGGAGAATGATGTCCTAAAGATTTGTCGACAATTGAGAAGAAGTTGACATTTTTGTAACACTTGGCTTTGCCATGCCGATTTGGTTTTAGTTTATTATTTTTTTCCCCTTTCTTCTCTGTCATTTTGTTTGTTTTTTTATTCTTTTCAAAGAGTTGCAAACCTCAACTTGAATTTTTTGTCCCGCAAAGCATTAGTAGCATAAGGCGCATCGAATTATCCCTTCCTTAAAAGAGGATCCTCCAACGGTGTAGGTGCACAACGTACTTACAAAGATTAAAAACAAGCAATAAATGCTTTTGTAAGTCCACTCAACCAATTACTAGTTAGTAACTTTAATACCAAGATCCAAAAATTACTTTTACGACAGGTTAAATCGATTATTGCAACCAAGAACGTAAAAATGTCAACCAGTACTATATTAACGGATCTAAATGTATTATACCCACACATTAACAATATTCCCTCGTATTTTTATCAAGAGATTAAGTTAGAGGCGTATATGCCATATGACGCCATCTGCATTTATAACATGTCTCATACACACGAGTATCGCACAATCAAAAAACGGACAATTGGGTACGCCCTATGCTACTTACATTGCCTATAATCAGTAGGAAACATCATCAGTGGCGGATCCAGGGGAGGGGCCCGGGGGGCCCTGGCGCCTCCTCCTCCTATCTTTAGACCAAACGGAGGCCGAAACCCCTCCTCCCCCCGCCCCCCACTCTTATCTGAAGGTCTGGAACCGCCACTGATCATATTTTGAAATAAAAATTGCATAAGTTAAGATATTCCTAGGAAGTAGTTTTTAGAAATTTATGCCTCAAGAGTGCTGATCTCCTCTTTGTCTGAAACAGCGGATAGATATCTCATCCACATTATTGCTGCTGACCAAAAACCCCCACGAAACCAACAACAATTCTACCAATCATTCCAACAATTTTTGATGAAAAAACAATGTTTAATTTACCCAACTTGAGTTTACGAAAACTTCACCTTTTGTCACAAAGAAACAACTTCAGTTCTACTTCTTATCTGGATGAAAAATATTCAATCCGCGTGTTTTTTGGCCCAAGTTTTTAATGGTGGTGTCTACCTGCTTCTTCTTCAAAAGCATCTCAAAAACAATTAGAAGAAGTTGTTCTTTGCTTTGATTTTGCTCAAAACACCGGCTCGCTATTCCTTTCTATCACAGCCCCGTAGATAGTGAATACGTCAGCCCATAAGATTGCAGAATGCATAAAAGAATGCTAGTTGGTTTTCCGTCACTGAAACACATCTATCGGCGCACGTTTCTGATGATGCAATTGGCATCCAAGGCTATACTATCTACCGCTGGGTATGTGTATTTAAAACTATGGAGCGGCCACAGTAGCATGTTATATGACATTGGAGAAAGGAAAGAAAAGGGGAACTCTGGACACCCTTGAAACCTCTTCACTTGGTACGCCCCTGGGTACAATGCTAGTATCCGACGTCATAATACAAAATCGTATACATTTAACGAGATGTGTCACGAAATTCAGCCAAATTAGGAAATTGCAAAATGCCCGTTAAATTAAAAGAAACATAAAAATAAAAAACTTTAAAGGAAGGTTAAAATACCATAACAGATACAACAGATGTCACGGATGGGCACAACTGAAGAGGATTGAAACGGATTGAAATTAGGACTTTTGAAAACTGTTCAGCCTAACAGTTGTTCAAAGTTGATCCCTACTGCTTGCAACTTTAAAAATAATGCACAGGAGACATACTTGTTTGTGTCGGATCGCTGATTTTGTCATTTACATGGAATTTCTTTGCTTACTTTAAGTTCCATAACGATTTAGGGCGAGTAATTGGCAAAATTAAACAAAATGAACTAGACTGCCGCGACACAGCCCCTTTAATGAACCCCGCCACTAAACCTAACCACTGAGATCAGGCTGTCAACCTTTGAAAATCAGATATAAGTGATCAAAAATTCTGGATACGACTGGCCATTTTCGAACACAACAAATAACGCGGGGTTGCTCTTATTATCACAGCACGAGTCAAACAGAATGTTTGGGTTTGTGGGGTCTTTGGGTGGTGGACGAGTCAGCGAACTGTCACCATTAGTGTAGGAACCTAACAATACTCTAGCCAGGAACATATGCTTGTAAGAACGAGGTGTATCCTGATTGGCAGTGTAGTGATGTGAGTAATAAGCACTGCAAGCAAAATAGCTTCCCTTCCCATACTTTGTGCCGTGCTTGCCGCACATTCGCCAGTCAAAGCCCTGCTGGCAGATGGCATCAATAGTGTCGGGCTTTGTTCCGTGGAACAAGTAGCGCTCTTCGGGAGCCGTACCAGCCTTTTTAGCCATGCGATTCTTTTTCCTGAAAGGACAAAAAAACTGCCGATTATTCAATTATCGATGTATTTAGGCAAATTACTAATTAAAGACACTAGTTTTACGTCCCCGCTGGATTTTAGGTGGTCATCCGTGCCCCGCGAATGTCGGGCTATTTTTAGGGCAAAGGTAATACCCCATGCTCCTGCATACCAATGATTTACTTAGAAAGTTATAGCTTTTGGCTAGCAACTCCAAATGAGAACCGTTTGGACTGGTTCAGACCCCAGATCTTTATAACCTTTATTAACCGAATTATGTTTGGCGTCCGATTGGCGTCCCAATCGAGGCGGTCCCAAATTTGACTGAAGTTCGGCATTTAAACTTTGCTGTTGTTTATTGTGGGCCCTCCTCTGCAAACATGCTCACGATAACTACTTACTAAGAAATACTCATTGTTTATTTTTTCTTGGAAATCTAAATTTTGGTTTCTCTCGGTGTGGATGCAATAGACAAGACGTTTTTCATACTGCAAAAGAGGTTGAGTGCGTCGAGTTTTTAATTCCAACTTCGAGGAGTCGAGATACCACGCCTTCCAGTTTTTGTTACGGCTGCTAAGAAATTTGAAGCTCAATTTCGCAAACATATATGTTTATTATGATCCTCTTTCAGACCTTTCTTACAGTAACGATTTCCTATTTTTACTTCAAACTACTGATAAAGCTAGTTACGTTCTTACTGGTTGTAAAAGGTCCATAAATCTGGGTTCTGCACTCGTTCTATTTTCAATATGTTGGGAAGAACATCCCGCATAGTTTCTCGAAAAAACTTTTCCGCTTTCTTGTATTCAAAATGCATCGGGTTCAGTGGTACACATACGTAGTCCTTGCCATCAGGGACAGGGCACCAGTGTGATGGTGGACCATCAAGCTCTGTCGATGCCGAGTTTCTTCGTGACTGGACTTGGGCAGCTGTCCTGCGCCTGGGAGAATTCATGTAAAACAACTATTAACATGAGTCAAAAGTTAACCTGGCAATATGCTGTCATTGACGTCTTTTGAGATTAAAGTTACCGTCTTCAACTGCGATATTCGAGATTGAGTCTTAAATGGTCGATTGGAGAACAATACGCACTGAACTATGCTTAGAGGTGAACAAAGTAAATAGGGCCGCGTCGCTTATACTTCCATTACAACAACAACAACAAACAATTTAAGCACTAGCAGTTAAATAGCTTGCCCCGCAAATAGCTGGAAAGATAGTCGTGGCGGGGCAAAACAAGTACATGAATAAACATATCTCCTAACAGCAGAAAAACTACACTTTACAAAGCCTTGCAGAAAATAAAAAATAAAAAAAAAGCCTTGCAGATCGCAACTTAAAATAAATAAAATAGTAAAAAGAAGTTCACTTATCTAATTACCTACTCAGTACTTTCGAAATAAATTAATCGAAAATAAAATGACCTAAATAAGAAATAAATACTTATATAGGCTCACCCTAGCCTGAGTATCAGGCCTTCCTAAGGGGCTAGGGGAGAGGATACTCAGGCTAGGCTCACTCCTAATTAGACTTTTCAAGGATGATGAAACAAACAATTCAAATGGTGAAATCAAAGACAAATGGAAACATTTGAGGAACTTTCCTTTTCCTAGACTTGGAAAAAGGGGTAAGCTTTAATCAATGTTCTAATTGACTCGGATTATTACAACCTGTATTTCCAATGAAAGAGGTTCGTGGAAGCGACAAAGACTGCCCAGTTCCAGACTGCAAATGATATATCCAAGAAATCTCAGAGGATGAGCCAAAACTACCATCAGACATGACAGGTTGTCGAAACGTTAGTCACTATCAACAATTATTCAGGACTACGCAGCTCACCTAAACTATCATATTCCACCCACTTATGAATATACTTCAAGATTTCAACTATATATTTAAATAAGCTAAATACCTTTGAGCAACATCGTGCATATTCCCTTTGGTCACAAAGTCAGCAGGCCTCCTTCTAACGGGCCTTTTGGTTTTATAAACATCATTTTGTTGGTACCATCCTTTGAAGTATAGAGTGTAGCGCTGGTGCAGCACAGTGAAGGAATGGCAATCGTTACCTGGGGAAAACAATCAAGGACAGTCAACATATTTTCATCGATGTTGCCATCTTGGGCAAAAAAAAGACTTCAGATCACAGGAAATTAAAGACCGGCCGTGACTTCTTGTCAGTAGTCTTGGAAATTTTGAAGTATGAAGCATATCCCACACAATTAAGTCACAAAGAGAAACAAACATATCAACGTTTTTACTATTTTGCTTCACAATAACAAGCACTGAGGTGTCGACAGCAATTTTCATTTATACCACCAAGCCCCACCCATGAGGGATTTTATTTTATACTGTATTCACTCAAACCATTTTTTTCACGAACACTCTAACAAGAGAATAACTCGATCTACTTGCGGTCAACGCATTAACCGGCGAAACCTCATTGCTAGTGGGAATGGTTCTTATAACCGGCTAACTTCGATTACGAACATATCATTTGTAGGTAATCACTTTATTTGTTTGTGCTCCAAACACTTTTAGTCTCCTCTAAATTCCTGGGACACTGTATTGCGAAAATCGTTGCCAAGGGATTGTTAGAATTGGTTGAAAGTAGTGGTCCCTTTTTCCTCCATTTAAATGCTGCGAGATCCCTGAGGAGGGACTTCATCTGTTATCTTCGTGATGAAAGAAATAATTCGAGACAGCTCTCTCAGGATATAAGGGGAATAAATTATTATTTACGGAATGATAAGGGATCGTTAACTCATACCTGCCATGTATTCTCTCTCAAGACATTGGCTGCTTGTGGTGTTAACAGCATGTGCACCATTTGGAGTGTCGTACGACTGCCACTTGTTATTTTCATCCTGCCAGTACCAATGCCACCTAGTGCTGAACACGTGGCCTGCTGCTGCAACCACCGATGACACAGTGGACAGACGACGAATCTTAAAAGGCTTGGAGTTCACAGCTGACCAAGGTCGTAAACCTAAATTGTTACACAAAGTAGCTAGTTTATTGAACTTTTGTATTTTTCACATCATCAAATTCATGAAACTGAACACGATCCTCTCAGTAGAATGAACAACCTATAGCAAGCGGTTGAAAAAGAACCTGAAAAATTCAGGTTTGACCTTTGCGAAGATCCGCACGCGACGCTATCTTCATTGAGCAGGCCATTGTGAGTTCCCAATCAAGTTCTTCTTCAACCACTTTGGTATTTCCGGTTTTCTTATGTGAATGCTAAGTGCCTCTGATGTGGAAAGGCGACTCCTTTCTTTCCGTTTGGAACAGAAAGTCGGAAAATTGTGTACTAGCTCAGGTAACGCTGGTACCTAATCACATGTCTTGAAGTTGCAAAAGTAAGCGTCAGTTTCCTTCATCACAGGCCAGGGGGGCTTATATCCGGACCGGTTTATAACCGGAAAAAAAAGTTTCAAAACAAGCTGCATAGCAGTGCTGATCAAAATGCTTTTTGAATTTACTCGCTTTTTTAAGCTTCAGAACGTAATACAAAAGCTTTAAAGCTTTAAAGGATCAGCAGTGAAAATAAAGCAAAACAACCCAAAGGGGAAAAAATATCAAAAAACTAAAAAGAAAAAATGAAGCGCAAAGTTTAAAAGTATCTCTCCCTCCGAACTTCTTATAATCAAAGTTAGATCCGCGCAGCCACTGAATGATTGATACGCTAAAATTGAACGCTGTTTGAAGTTGGTGGAGCTGTATTTATCATTAATTTTTTCGGGTTCAGCGGCAGATGGATGTACGGAGCTGAAACCAGTGTTGCTGTATTTATCATGAATTTAAAGATACATTTGAGGAAGATTAGCTTAAAGGCGTATTTCAAAGTCATTTTGCATTATATCGGCCTTTATTCACTCTCGGGTTCAACGGCGGATGGATGTATGGAGCTGAAACCAGTCTTTGTTTTGGTCAATCTGTAGCATCGGTCGGCAAGGAAAGAACCAATTCATTGTTGGTTTGCCTCGCTGTAACATGAATTCGAAGGTACAGATTTTAGAGAAAAGCAAGGTTTTGACGGTACAAAGCCGAAGTGAGACGTACTTTTGAATAAAACATGATAGTGCACCACAGTATTTGCATCGCACTTGAAGTAGCCTTGCCTGGTAACGCTAAAATGCCCCCTGACGTCACATCTGAATGACGTCAACTGCGGACACCCAAGAGATCTATAGATATATTCGCAACTCGAGATTCTGCCTCGCTGTGCGATCAACGCGCGAGGCGCCTGCTGCACGCGACAAATTTATAAACCTTGTTTCGCTTGGAACAAGTTGGAGGGGCTTGTATCTGGGGGAGCCGGGCTTATAACCAGATGTGTTTTTGTTTACAGGTAGATGAGTCTACAACTGGGGGGGGGTTATAAGCGGCAGTTTAGGGTATTTTAAAAGTCACCATGAACACTTTTACGCTCCAACATCTTCAGCGGCCTTCGATCTACCAAAAACACTAATTGAAACCAACTAGAACCTATGGTAAACGCCATGTCACAATGAAAGTCAACTTTGAGGTACTTACCAGCGAGCGGTACTGGTACAGCAGTCATGTCAGTAAACTGAACACGATAAAGAATACCTCTGATCCGCATGGAAAAAATGTCATTTTGAACATTACAGTACGACTGTTCCAGTGCTGTATTCACATCACTTGGAAAACTCTCCCAGTTGCGACCATTTACTGCAAATTCCCACAAGTAAGGTAGCTCTGTGTGGCGATGGATACAGCTGTTGCCATAGTTACATTTGCTACGCAGATTAAATCCGCAAATCTCAGTATCCCTTTCGTTGTCATCCTTAAGGTTCATGTAAGAAGCACTAAAATTTGCTGATGAAAGAGAACCTACATGGGGCGTCTGAGAATCAAAACTTCTACCCATTTCATTCTTTCTTTCTTGACCGTTCAACAACTGAAGCACTTTCCATTCACCAATCCTTTCCATGTCATATTCCATTAGTATTCTAATGTTATGTGGCTCAGAGAAACCATGATCCCTTTTGCAGCCCTTGCCAAATTTACATTTTCCAGCAGCGAAATATTCACACACGTGCAACCAGGGGCAGTTATCCTCTTTCATGCATGTACCTTTGTTGTAGAATTTGCAGATATCCGGTACAGATCGTTTGGCAGCAGTTCGATGTAATTCGCTTTCCTCTACGATCCTTTCCAAAACCTCTTGCAAAAGCGAGGAAGAACATAAGAAACCGAGGCGGAAGTGATTAAGAACCCGAACCGTATGTTCGTCACCATAACTGTGAGATCTATTACAAGTTGCACCGAACTTGCAGTTTCCCTTGATAAAAAAAGGACATAAATGAAGGCGAGTACATTTCCTAGTAACACATCCACCTTTCTCTACAGCTTCAAAGCAAAACTCTAAAGGGACATTCAATATTATAACTACTTTCGATTTATGTTTCCGCAGCGTCCTGACTTCCTCACATTTAAAGAGCTCCGGATGGCTATCTACGAATTCAAACGCTCCATAATGTAAAACTAAACTACGGTTTTGTGAAGAAAGTTGCTGCACTGTATCCCCGAGTTCTAACTCTCCGCCATTTTCCAAGAGAATTTGTATCAACTCTTCTAATGCTTGTGTCCGAGCACGTGGATACACCGCATACGCCATAATTGGTACTTCCGTATTATAAGCCCTCATGCATCATTGTTGTTATCAACATTGTAGTCATCTTTACTGCCAACGAGC